GAGGGATGGTGAGAAGGAGGCAGATGCCTCCGAAACGACGGTAGCGGCTAGTGACACGACAGGGTGTTAGTATGTTCGTCCTATTGAATCTTACCCAATAGATTGGTCGGTTTCCAGCTGGTGAAACTGGTCCAACAAACTCCTTTCCAGGCAAGAGAACCTGCCGAAGTAAGGGATTGATAGACGCTTAGATACATCCCTTTATCGTGATTCTAGCTGATCAGGACGTCGAAATTCTGACCAGGTCGAACCAAAACGCACCTGAAGAAGTGCTTCGAAAGCTGCGAATGTGCCAATTATTTTCCACGCGATGGGGTAAAAGGGCGACGGCCAGGCCTCCAAGAGGCCATCCATAATGGACTCCTTGCTTTCCAAAAATTGCCAGAATTTGAGTATCGATCCGTCCGTTTTGGCCATAATGAACCACCTGCACCTCGAAACGAGTAACATTTAGGAATTTAGCTATCACTTTTGTTATTACTGATCAATTTCAATAGTTGAAGTGTCTTTGTCAGTCCAGTGTGTCATATTCTTAGTACGTTATCTTACATGTAGATGGCGATCGGAGGAGTCAGCACGAGCATGGCTAGCATGCTAATTATGGTCATAGCCTTCCCATGGACGTGCTCCGCCTTGGAATAAGCTGATGGTAAATGCTTCAGTGGTCGATGTGACTTTAAAGACTTCTCAAGATGCGCGACCTTGAAGAAGCCATCCTTAAGATCTGAATCCAGCAACAGCTTCGAGATGCGAGACGCAATCATAGTAATCGGCATTGTAGACACCTCGACGCCACCGAAGGAAAAACCAATGGGGAAAACAAAGGAAAAAAGTGATAGCGGTTCTCAGAAGGAATTAGCAACTCAAGCTAAAGCTCAACGGGCTAAATCTAACTCCGCACACTCTCTGCTGCTGTGCTTCTAATCGCTCATGATCTCCACTTTCTGGTCTGATTTCAAGGGCAAGGCTGGAGTGGTGAATTTGGACTGCGTGTGAATCAGGGATGTGTAAGGCCCAAGAGCTCAAAGCCGTCGATCTACATTATCGGCCTGGGGTTGGCGATCTAGCCGAGCGACCCGCTTGTCGTGGGTCACTCGCTTCTCCCGTAGACTCGAATTGATCGAAGATCGACTGAGCGTCCAACAACTGTACTGCTGCTACTGAAAATATCACCACCCATTCAGCCGACATAACGAATCTAGACCGTCGATCCTTGTAATGAAGTTGAAAATGCCAGGTGTTACGCAATTTACAATTGCCACGTCATAAACCTATCTTTTCCCAACCAATTGGCCCTACCAAAGTATGTGGCCAATGGAGCACATGGACCTGAAGTGCTTTGTTGAAGCGCGGTTAGGTCCAATTTTCGCGCACATGGCTGAAGTATAATTTCTGCCAGCCCGGACGCAACGGATTAAACCGCTTGATAAATCAGGCTATCCCAGAAACGGTTTCAGTTTTAATTAATTGTAGAATTTCTGAGAGATAAGGATAGGCGAGTATTTTGTCATCCCGAGGGTAGCTGCGGGTTTTATGTGGAAGGAATTTAAAGGCAAATATCTTTCAATGGAACCGTCCAGAGGTCTCTCTTTTTGGGGGAGGGAGGAAGGAGGAGGGGGGGGGGTGGGGGGGGGAGGGATGAAATACACTATGCAACGTATACATCCAGAAGTACCTTGTAGTTGCTGGGTGTTGAACTTAGGAACGCCAAACAGAATTTCAAACTTCCAGTCAAAACCAGGAGTTACCCTGAAAACATGCGTCCTTGTCGGGGAAGTGATATGCGTGTCGTTGACATGCTAGTGAGCAAGTTCGCTTTCACGGGCAGCAGCATCACATCACAGAATCAGCCGGTCCAAATGTACTGTACCACCAAATGGTCATGGAGGTTGCCTGCTGCAATTGTGGTCCAGCAACCTCAATATGAGGAACCACACTTCAAATCAGTCTAGGTGAGGAATTCAGCCAACAGCACTCAAAAGCATAGATGAGCATCACCAAGACAGGAATTTGACGAAGTTCGCCTGCCCGCGGACCGGGCTGTAGGTTGTAAAAAAACCGGAACGCGACCAATCAATACGGGCAAGCCGAGAATTCAGGCACACTGGTGATTGGTGGTGTCAGATGATCCTCGCCTCGACTTTCACGTGGAGAAGACAGCATTTATCCTCGACAAGACACGAATCGCCACAAATCGACTTCAATGTCTACCTCTTTCTTCTTATGAAATTTGTACATTGCTGGTAAATTGTACCTAACCTGCACAACACATGAGGTTCACAATAATTCATAAAGCCTCGTTAATCAAGATCCAACCTTAGTAACTTGCATATAGAAATGAAAGTACTTCAACACAGTGCATACCTGATACAACACTTCAGCACTCTTTGCACCAAAATCTCTTAGCGCTGCCCGTTGTACATGCTGGTGCATACATAAAGAAAGAAGAGAAGGAAAAAAATGTACAGCGTGATACAAAAAGATGCAGGTGGGATGACTCAACCAACCAGAATGCCAGGCCAAGCTGATGTAATGTAAACATTCAGAAACATCAGAAGACGTATGAAACAAAACTCTAGGCAGGGTAGGTGGGGTGAGGTAATGGATAAGGTACAGGAGCAATTTGGGGGTAACAACGAGGAGGGTGGCAGAAGGCTAGGAGAGAAGTGAGAAAAAGGGAGAGAAAGTGGTTTGGATCCAAATGAATCTGGAGAAGCAAGCGAAGCGAGGTTGTCAGGGGAACAAGGAAACGAAAGGAAAATGACAAAAGGAAAAAAGGAAAGTGAAGGGGGAAATGTACACCTCTCGAGTCGATGATTTGTGCAGCGAGTAAACGGCTACTGACGCAGCCTGAAGTAGCCCGCGCGGGTGAGGGGTACAACAGGACGAGGGAGACAAGAGGGCGCGGGCACAAGAGGATACACAACAACAAGGGGCACAAGAGGACAAGGGGTACAAGAGAAAGGAAGTTAGGAGTCACTATCAACAGGGGACAGAGCATGGAAAAAGGCCTGTGAGGAGAAGCACATGGAGGGAACAACAGTGCTGATACTTGTCTGTGAGCTGTGCATGGAAGAGCAGTCACCATAGCATGCTACCCATCCTGAGCTGATCCACATACGCAATGCCAAAAATATATTGGAAACACATTTTCCTGATCAAACTCCACTCGATCAACCTCTTATCCTTATAAGGATTTCCCTCTTTATGGCACTGTGCCACACGATAAGTTTTGCAGCCAAAAAGAGCATGTTGCTGCCTCGGTTCGAATGCCACCTTGGTTTGAGTGCGAAAGGGCAATTTGAGACTCTGTCAAGGAATGAAGTATTCCATGTCACTTGAGCCTCGCAGACGTGGACTCTGTATTCCACCTCACATGGGCCTCACACACGTGTGGACCACATGGACCTCACACACGTGTTGACCACATGGGCCTCGCAGACGTGGACTCTGTACCCCACCTCACCTCACCTTGAGCCCTGCTGCCAAAAAGAGCATGTCAGCACCCTTGGTTCTCGTGCCAAAGGGCGGGTTCATCACCACCACCTCAACTGAGCCGCCTGCAATGAGCAAGCAAGAGAAGGAATCCATTCTCTTAGAGTTGACTCAAAATGACATACGACTTTTGAGTCGACTCAGAAGTCATCTCGTGCCAAAGGGAGGGTTCATCACCACCACCTCAACTGAGCCGCCTGCAGGAAGCAAGCAAGAGCAGGATTCAACTTATGAGTCGCCTTAAAGAAGATGCTTCTGGTGTCAAGGGAAGAGTTTGTCATTCTATTCCCGGGGCGGCAAAAATAAAAAAATAAAAAAATAAAAAAATGGCATGTGTGTTTCAGGGGCACAGGCTGCTTCTCGATTAGAGGATGCGCGTTTCAGGGGCAAAGGAAGTGAAGTTGGGGACACGGAGAGAGAGAAACCGGAAATATTGGGAGCGCGATTGAGAGTAATGGAGGTATGTTAGAACGAAGGGAGATGAGTGACGAATCAATGAGCAAGGAGAAGAATAGGGCTGCAGCTTATGAGAAAGAAGGAGAGCATCGTTTCTCATCATTATCCAAACAGAAGCCCCAAAAACAGAGTGCCCCGAGTTTTTTTTCTTTTTTCTTTTTTTTTGGAAGGGCAGCCTTTAGGGTCAGTACCAAGGACAAACAGGAGGAAGAGGAGGGTGGCCGAGGAAGGATCGAGTCAGAGGCTTAACTAGTGAGAGACAAGTGGGGGAGTTTCGCCTGAATGAAGTCCATGTCAATCTGCTCATACACAAAGGTACACAATAAACATACAGAATAGCATCCGCTCTGGTGGAGAAATAGATACACTCTAGTGTACTGCATGTGATTAAGGTAACGAAGCATAACATATCAAACATAACAATACATGATGTAACATGACCGAACATATATGAACAAAACAAAGAGACCAAAAATGGTCCTCCGTCTCCCAGCCATTTGGGCACGATAAGCACAGTTGGCTCTTGCACAACCCCTGTGCATCCCTGAGGTTTCTTGCCACACAACCCCTTCCACCCGCATGCTACATTTTTGCGTGGAGTTTGTTTTTAGAGGCGTCTAAAATACAGCTTCAATTTCACGAGGAGCCTATTTTAGAGGCACCTAAGGAAACGATACATTCTTATAGAGAGACGATTAAAAGGCACACCTCATACTCTTGACAGTTGGCCTGTGCTGCGGCAATGGCTGAGTCATCTGCGTCCACTCCCACCACATCCCTGCATGCATGCATGCAAGGATGTGCGCACACATGCAGAGACATGCAAGCGAAAATGCGAACATGCATGCATGCACATGCGCACACACACATACAGCCACACACTTGCATGAACGGAGGGTACGTGAAGGATGCATGAATGAAGGGTAGCGGGGCTGCAGCATTACGTATGAACCACACGAAAACGGCTGATGTGGCTCCGAGAAGCTGATTCTCTCTACATTTTTTGCAGGTACAAGATGGCCTGGTGCGGTTCTAAGCGGTTGACTCACTCTGCACCCAGCATGGCTGCGGCAATCCCTAGGGTGCCGCACCCACAGCCGAGGTCGAGCACTGTACGCCCCTCCACGTCATCAAAGCGCGTGTGGATCTGAAGGGCGGAAGAGGAGACATTTTGTGTGAGTGTGGCTCTGAAAGCAGATTTGAGGAGGAGAGAGAATCTTGATAGGTACTGCACACACACCACCGCACCACCCACAGCCAAGGTCGAGCACTGTGCGCCCCCCCCTCCACATCATCAAAGCGAGTGTGGATCTGAAAGGGATGGAGACGAGAAGGGCCATTTGTGTGTGTGAGAGACATCATTGTGTGCAATATATCTTGGGTGATATGCACACATTTTGTGTGAGAGAGAGAATTTTGCATGACAGGCATACGCTAAAAGGAGCATCAATAACCAGATGTAATCCATAGAAGTACAATCAATAACGTGTACGCGATAGTACATAAATAACATGCAACATCGTGATAGCATGGAAAGATGGCAGCAGCTGTCACCTCATAGAGCATGCGAGAGGCAATGTGAGGCCCCGTGGGGTACTGCTCCAACTCAATCTGATGGAGGGATGGAGAGCGGTGGAGGGGGATGGAGCGGGTTGGAGTGGGTTGGACGGGGATGGGGAGGCGTGGACGGGTTGGAGGGGGCTGGAGGTGGAAGGAATGGTTGTGCAAAGAGGTTGAAAGTCCATGTGCGAGCATGTGGGGTTGTGGTCCAGGTTGCATTGTAAGAGGAGAGCAAGAGAAGGTGAAAGGAGCGGGCGTGGAGGAGGGTTGAAGCGGGTGGAGGGGAAAGACGTGTGGGAACGGCGGGGAATTAGCAACGGGGGAAGGGTAGGGGGTGGGAGTGGGTGGGGAATGAAATGGGTGGGTGGGTGGCTAGGAAGGGGAATAAATAGGTAAGGAAACAAGGTATGAAGTGTTTCATTATCTGCTCTCGCTCATCGAATAGAGATCGCGTGCCAAAGACATTCTGAAGTAAATTTTCGAGCGCCAAAGTGGACATGAGGGAACGACAGCCCTGGTTTCCACGAAGGTTCCGCGACCAGGACAAAATCGATGCGATTTCGAATCGAAATCGCCGTCGATAACACGGAAAACATTCTCATTGTCGAACGCAACACATGATCGCACGGATTGGCGGCTCAAACCTTCCTTGAGTTTCAAACCGACCCACCTTGGGATTGTCGAACTGTTGCACATCTCCTAGGAGCGACTCGAGCTGCTTCAGCTTCATCTGCCAAAGACGAACACCAGTCTACGATACTGCGGACCTATGATTCTGTATTACGCATGGACTACGGAACGCTAAGGGACTACGAAGGAGGTCTGTGCGACCCGAGTCGCGGGCTTGCACTGATGACTACTGACTGACTAAGGACGCGGCACCTGTTTGCCTTTTGCCAGGGTCGGTGGAGGATCGGGTCATTACACCGATCCTGGCACATCGATCGGCACATCGATGTGCCCACACTGCAAAATTGCTGTGTTATACACACTTCGAGCCTCAAGTGCCAGGTTCGAATTTGCAGGTTTGGCGTAGCCGAGGCGTCGCTGTAATTTGCCACACATTGCAATCTACCCAATCACATCACCCTGGTGGTCGCACAGGACGGTCTGGGCGACTTGCGCGCTGCGATCGTGGCCCCAATCAAACCAAACCACCTCCCCGTTGTTCAAGCAAACCCATGCTTCCGAGCACACACATTCCAACCACAAGGTCCCAACAGTTCCGACTGCGGATGTATCTATGTTTGATAATATAGTTACCAAAAAAAAAAAAAAAAAAAAAAAAAAAAAAAAACAACAACAACAACAAAACCACAAGGTCCCAGCATCTTTCTCGCAATTGCATTTTCCGCTTTCGACATGGACGAGTCCCAATTCATCCTCTTCGTGACCGTCCTTTTCGAGGGCTTTCTGACAGTAGTCGCCACTCCTGCCGTATTGTGCCTAGCTCACCTGCTATCTCAAGTTATCACCGACCTCACGCCTCGTATAGACCACGTTACCCTGGTGGATGACCGGGCAGACGCCAGACGACGATGGTTACGCGTCTTACCTGCACTTCCCGCGGAGCAGTTTTATGGCCACTTCCGCATGGAGCGCCCATTGTTCAACTATCTCGTTAACCGCTATAAGTCCAGTAGAGACCGTGATGTCAAACTGTTATAATGCTTATATAGTGTAGGCTATAGTGGGGTTAGCCCATAAAGGGTACAATCCAAATAGGGTTAGTACTTGTACTCAGTTTCTTGTCAATGCATTCATTCTCGTTCACTTTCTTGACATGGTTTCAGAGTAGGTCCTGTTCCAAGAACGTTTTTTTAGGGCCCACCGCATAGTTCCGTGCCCGTAGCGCTGCCCCACTAGTCGCGCTGCCCTTGTCAGAGGTCCACTGATGATCCCCGATTGATCCTAGGGAAGGGTTACAGTCTCGTTGTCCTGGGGGGTTATGAGCGCACTGACCTGCTACTCAACAAGTCCTTTTATCCCAATGGTCTAAGTGGTTGGGATTTTGACATGGTATCAGAGCGAAGGTCTCGGGTTCGAATCCCAGTCTGTGCTCTTTGGACATCCCAGTGCGAGGGGGGTGTCATAGGTCCAGTGGTGATCCTCGATTGATCCTAGAGAAGGGTTACAGACTCGTTGTCCTGAGGGGTTATGGGCGCATTGACCCGCTACTGAACAAGCCCTTCTATTCCCATGGTCTAAGTGGTTGGGATTCTGGTAGCCCTGCCCTGCCCGTCGCGCCGCCCTGCTGGTCGCGCGCTGCCCTGCACTCCCCGTCGCGCCGCCCTCCCCTGCCCGTCGCACTGCCCTGCTAGATGCGTGCCGCACTGCCCTGGTCGCCGCGCCGCCCTGCCCTGCCCGCGCGCCGCCCTGCTGGCCGTCGCGCCGTCCTGCCCTGCCCGCGCGCCGCCCTGCCCTGGCCGCGCGCCGCTCTTCCCTAGCCGTGCGCCGCCCCGCCCTACCCTGCGCACTTCCCTAGTGCTCGCGTCTAGGGACGGCGTCTAGGGACGGCGTCTCCTTGTTTGACCACACGTGTGAGACCTCTCTCGCTCCTCCCTAGACAGCTGACAGTGCGACTCGCTCACAGTGGCTTACCCGTGACACTACTGCTCGCATAGCCTTTCGCAACCACCTCCCGTTAGCCGAACGCGCACATTTTGGCCAGCACAAGACCGCCAAAGAACTGTTCGACGCTGTAGTAACTCGTTACTCCTCCCCTGCCACTGCTTCTCTCGGCTGTCTTATACTGCCCTACCTTTCTCCCGAGCTGTCAGCCTTTGCCACAGTCGATGACCTCATCACCCACCTTCGCACTAGCGACACTCACTACCAGGTCGCTCTTCCAACCAAGTTTCTAGACAAGAACCCCCCACCCATGTACATCACTCTCTACTTCATCATCACCCGCCTCCCTGAATCTCTTCGCGCAGTCAGGGACCTCCTTCTTGCCCTTGACCCCACATACCTCACTGTCGACCTGCTCGAGAAGCACCTCCTTGCAGCTGACACCAGCATAGTCACTATAGGCGCTTCTCGTGGCACTCCTCGCACTCCCTTCTTTGAGGGGTTTTCCCCCTCCCCCCTTGTCCCCTCTGTCACTTCTGCTGCTGCTGTTGACTTCCTTAGTGCTCAGGAGGTCGGGGCTGCGTCTGCTCCTAATGGGAGGCACCGTAGCGGCAAGGGAAAGGGAGGCAAGGGTGGTGGGGGTGGCAGTGGTGGAGGCGGTGGTAGAGGCGGTGGAGGCGGTGGAGGTGGCGGCGGTGGCGGTGGGAGTGGTGGTGGGAGTGGGGGCGTCGGTGGTGGCGGTGGTGGTAGCGGTGGGAGTGGTGGCGGCGGCGGTGGCTGCAGTGGGAGTGGTGGCGGCGGCGGTGGTGGCGATCGGGGTGGAACCGGTCAGAGGGAAGGTTCTGGCGGTGGCCAGAGGCAGCAGCAGCAGCGTCCGCGCGAGACCCTTACGCCTCAGCAGCTTCGTGAGTGGTTGCTCAGGGTGGGCCGTCTGGGGGGAGTGTTCGTTGCACGTACGCTATTCGCACAGGTGATCGCGCTGGTCAGACTTGCGGGAAGGTTGGTTACACACAGTCCCGCTGCTTCTCCCGCCTTGAAGATGCCTGGCGCACACAGTTTGGCGACGAGGCAGAGCTCCCCGGCGGGCTAGAGCTACTTAGGAAGAATGTGGATGTAATTGCTCTCGACTATGACGCTATCCTTGCTGGCATGTATGCTTTTACTATTAGTGCTGAGGGTGACTGTTACCTGTATGTGCCGCCTGACCTAGGTATAGAGGCTGCTGCTCTAGGTGCTAGTGAGTCTGCTCTCTCTCGTACTGCGCCTGCTGCGGCCTTGCACACCTTCACTCTTGACTCATGTGCTTCCCGCTGTTTCTTTCGCGACAGTACCACCGTCACACCGCTCACTGCACCTGTTGTGAGAATCATGAGAGGAATGAATGAAACTAGAAAGAAGATGGGTACAAGTAGAAAGCACAAAAGTGTTGTACCCTCTAAGAACTACCCCACTACAGCCTAAACAGACTATAGCATATATAAGTTTGACACACCTCCATAGGCAAAGTGGGGGAGAACAAGAGGTCACAAGACCAGTCAAGAAAGGAAAAGCAAGCTCAGGGTGGATCACAAAGTCACCACGCAGTCTGAGCACAAGCAAAGGGCCACAAGGCCAGTTCACATGCAGAGTTATATAAAGGAAGGCAAACAATACAGTGAACACAACCTAGCAAGTGTAAGCATGCAGGAATAAGTATATAGAGTACAGTACAAGCAGAGTCAAGAAGTCAGCAAGTGAGGCACAGTAGGTACAAGGCCTAGAATAGTGCAGAAACGCTGATGATCACAAGGCTGAAGTGCCTTGGTGAAAACATCAGCAGTGTTGGCCTGAGAGGCCACGTAAGCAAGACGAAGCTGGCAACGCTGCTGCAACTCTCGAGCAAGGAAGTAGCGCAGAGCAATGTGCTTCGTTCTGTGCTCCAGTCTGTGCTCCTGACACAAGGCCAGCATGGCCTTGTTGTCGACGTACAGAACTGGAGGAGAACGAGGCGCCTCTCCCAAGTCGGTCAGCAGGTAGGTGAGCCAGCGCAGCTCCTGTGCAGCCATGGCTCCAGCGTAGATCTCAGCTTCACAACTGGAGCTGAGAACAGAAGAAGAGCGGGTAGACCGCCAAGAGACAGAACCGGAGCCAAGACTGAAGGTGTAACCCTGTGACGACCGCTGCGCAGCCAAGTCGTCAACCCAAGAGGCGTCAGCGTGACCAGTGAGGACAACTCGAGCCCGTCCTCCAAGCACGAGCCCCATGCCCGATGTACTGCACAAGTATCGCAACACCCTCTTCGCAGCACCCCAGTGCACCTTTCGGTGCCTGCCGGGAGCCACGTAGCGAGCCAGAAGGCTGAGAGGGTATGCGAGGTCAGGTCGTGTGCAAGTCATCAGGTACATGAGGCAGCCCACAAGCTCTGGATACGGGCCACTCGGCTCTACGGACTCGTCCGAAGGTGGAGCTGAGAGCGAGTGATCGGTAGGCAGAGGAGTGGA